AAAAAAAGAGATTCTCCTGCCTCAGCCTCCCGAGTAGCTGGGACTACATGTGTGAACTACCACGCCTGGCTAATTTTTTTTATTCTTAGTAGGGACAGGGTTTCGTCATGTTGGCCAGGCTGGTCTGGAATTCCTGACCTCAGATGATCCACCCACCTTGGCCTCCCAAAATGCTGGGATTACACGCATGAGCCACCATGCACTCTGGAAATCTAAGCAGTAGCCCCACCTGCTCCCAGGAGGGAACTCAGGTGAGGCCTCCCTGGAGGAAGAAGCCACCAAATGCAATGGCTGCCTGGTCTCCCTGGGGCTCCTTACCCTGACACCAGGTAGGTCTTGAGGGCACTGATGATGACAGAGGAGTCATTCAGTTGTTGCTGGAAGAGAAAAGCGTGGCTTAATCAGAGGTTCCCACCCAGCGCCTCAGCCCTGGGCATTGTTTATCCATTCCTGGGGACAGGCCCACTGAGTCCTCCCCGCACTGCCCTCAGGGCACCCATCCTGAGTAGGGGAGACGTGGGTGTGGGTAATGGGGAGGAAGGTGTGGGGAAGCTGTGGGTCTAAGCCCCACCCAACTCACCCATCTGGCCTCCCAGGTAGAGGGGCAGGGTGGGTTCCGGAAGCTACATACTAGACACCAAGCACTGTGCCAGACATTTCATATCTGCTGTCCCTGCAACCCAGAGTATGGCCCCTTGTTGACTCAGGAAGAAGCATGCCCAGAGAGGCTAAGTGACTTGCCCCAAGTCACACAGCTAGTGAGTGGGTGAGCCACACCGCAAACCCAGATGGCTGATTTCAGAATCCATGCTGTGAAGCTGTGGTGTTCTGCCTCCCCAAGACCCAGCAGGTGTTTGGATTCAGTAGGGAAGGGGAGAGCCTGCATTTATTGAGCATCTGCTGTATGCAGCTGCTTCCCCCATAGTCCCTAGAGGCACAAGGATCACAAGTTTCTTCCCGGGCTGCAGAGCTGGACCAGGCTAGGGGGCGCTCCAGGACAACCCAGAGTAGGAGGGAGGATGCAGGGGGTTCCCTGGGGCTCACCGAGTTTTCTCCAACCTGGGCCACCAGGATGGGCACCTTTCTGTAGGAGGAGAACTTGATCTCAGCTCTGCGCACAGGGTTGACCTCCACCACCTGGTAGGGCAGGGCGTGGAAGTCCAGGAAGGCTCGGACCTTGCTGCAGAAGGGACACGTCTTGTACTGGTACAGGGTCAGCTGCAGGTGGCTGGACAGGGAGAGCTGTGGGCAGCAGATGGAAGGGGCTTCTAGACCTGGCACCCCCAGGCCCAGGCCCTGCCCCCAAGCAAGGATGTTTTCCAGAGGAGTCTTCTGGGATGACGCTGGAATATCGGGAAGAGAATCTAGAGATGGGAGGGGGTGGTGGGGGAAATGGAGACACTGGAGGGCAGCCTGGGTTTAGCCCCCTGCCAGCACGGTCCCCAGACAGGAGTCCCAGCCTCTGCTGTGAGGCTGTGTAGGAGGAATCTTCCATTCTCTGTCCCATACTGGACAGACCCCTCTTCTCTCACTCCAGTCCCAAGGGGACACCAGACAGCCCCAGGGTGTGCACCCCACCCCCACAGACACAGAGCAACTGTTTCCACTTGGTGCACTCACCCCTCACTCCTCTAACCCAGGGACCTCTGGGGGCCAGAGCCGGCCTACCACCCAGGCTGGAGTTCAGCGGCAGGGTCTACCTCCAATCTCTTCCTCGTTTTTTCCTCTGGAGACAGGGTCTCACTCTGTCATCCAGGCTGGAGTGCAGTAGCTTAATCACAGCTCACTGCAGCCTTAAACTCCTGGGCTCATGCATTCCTCCAGCCTCAGTCTATCTCAATCTCCGAGGTGGAGGGTGATACCTGGGCCGTGGCCTGCGTGTAGTGTAGCAAGCTCCACAGGAAAGCCCCCAGGGGAGCCTGCTGCACGTTCAGGGCAGAAAGCCACAATTGTAAACCACCTCCTTCAGTGTTCAGAGGGGAAGCTGGCCCATGGAGGCGGGAAGGGAGACACAGGGTACTCCACGCCCCTTTCACCCACCTCTGTTCCCTTGGGTCCAGCAAAGAAGCATCTGTGGGCAGGTAGTGGGGGCCAAATAGAGTAAAGAAGGTGTGGGGTAGGTATAAAGTGCCTCAAGACAGCTGGGCTGCCACCTGGCAGGGGACACCTTCCTGCCCCTTCCTGTTTTAGCCTGGAGTCTAAGTCATCAGTTCCATAAAAATACCACCACTACTACCACTAAATATATACACAGCCTTAGCATTTGGGGGCAGTGGAGAGAGAGGATGACAAATGTTTGGAAAACGAAAGAGGCTTTCCGTTTCCTGTGACCTCAGATCTCTTAATCAAAAAAGTCTCCTCAAAACACTGTAGAGGCCAGGCTCAGTGGCTCACGCCTATAATCTCAGCACTTTGGGAGGCAAAGACAGGAGGATCACTTGAGGTTGGGAGTTCTAGACCAACCTGACCAACAAGGAGAAACCCTGTCTCTACTAAAAATACAAAATTAAACGGGCATGGTGGCACACAATTGCAATCCCAGCTACTCAGGAGGCTGAGGCAGAATTGCTTGAACCTGGGAGGCAGAGGCTGCAATGAGCTGAGATCGTGCCATTGCACTCCAAACTGGGCAACCAGAGCGAAACTGTCTTAAAAAAAAAAANTCCCCTTCCCTCCCCTTCCTTCCCCTCCCCTCCCCTTCTCTATTTTTTTGAGATGCAGTGTTGCGTCCTCACCAAGGCTGGAGTGCAATGGCGCGATCTCAATCTCGGCTCACTGCAACCTCCACCTCTTGGGTTCAAGCAATTCTCCTGCCTCGGCCTCCCCAGCAACTGGGATTACAGGCACGTACCACCACACCTGGCTAATTTTTTTTAGTAGAAATGGGGTTTCACCATGTTGGCCAAGCTGGTCTCAAACTCCTGACCTGAAGAAATCCACCCACCTCTGCCTCCCAAAGTGCTGGGATTACAGGCATAAGCCACCATCCCTGGCCCGTTTCCTTTTTTTTTTCCTTAGGGGTAAAAGCTGGGAAACCTGCTGGATCAATTCTAAAAGAGCTGTAACACTTCTATTATTTTATAAATGACCCAGCCTGTGGTATTTTGTTATGGCAACAGGGACACCCTAAAGCAGCCATACTCTTCCCTGGGTGGCCAGGTGGCCAGGACCCAGGGGTCTCACACATGGGAGAGAAGAGAGCTTCCGTCCAGGCATAACTTCTATGACCTGTGTCTGAACCAGTGGCCAGTCTCATGAACATGTGCCCCTCTGCAACTCTGGGCCCTTAGCCTCCCTGGGTTTCCTTCAGTCTCTGTGGACACACTTTCCTGTCTCCCTTGCCCTTGCCTCTTCTGCAGCCTGCCTCTTAAGAATTAGGTTCCAGGCTGGGCATCGTGGTTCATGCCTATAATCCCAGCACTTTGGGAGGCTGAGGCAGGTGAATCACCTGAGGTCAGGAGTTCGAGACCAGCCTGGCCAACATGGTGAAACCCCGCCTCTACTAAAAATGCAAAAACAACTAGCCCAGCAAGAGAATTGCTTGAATCTGGGAGGTGGACATTGCAGTGAGCTGAGATCGAGCCACTGCACTCCAGCCTGGGTGATAGAGGCTGTCTCAAAAAAAAAAAAAAAAAATTAGCCAAGCATGGTAGCAGGCGCCTGTAATCCCAGCTATTGGGGAGGCTGAGACAGGAGAATCGCTTGAACCCAGGAGGCTGAGGTTGCAGTGAGCGGAGGTCCTGCAACTGCACTCCAGCCTGGGCTACAGAGCAAAAGAACTCAGTCTCAAAAAACAAAAGTCTCCTTAAGACACGGTAGAGGCTCGGTGCAGTGGCTCACGCCTGTAATCCCAGCACTTCCAGAAGTCAAGGCGGGCGGATCGCTTGAGGCCAGGAGTTCAAGACTAGCCTGAGCCACATGGCAAAACCCTGTCTCTAAAAAAATACAAAAATAGCCGGGTGCAGTGCCATGAGCCTATAGTCCCAGCTACTCCGGAGGCTGAAGCAGGAGGATCCCTTGAACCCGGGAGACGGAGGCTGCAGTGAGCCGCGATCGTACCACTGCACTCCAGCCTGGGCGATAATGCGAGACCCTGTCTCAAAAACAAAATAAACCAAACGAAAAAACACGGTATAAGAACGATTTTATGAGAAATCGAACAATTCCAGGTAGTAGGCATCAGGAGTGCCCCTATTTTACAGAATAGAACGCTGAGGGTTCGGAGACTTCAGGCCAACTCACTCGCCCAAGGTCACAAGCGGGCAGAGGCGACTCCTGACCCTGAGGGTTCCCAGGAGTCCCAAGCTCCGCACTGATCAGCAACCCCAACCCCGGCCGGGCCAGACCTTACCTGCGTGGCTGAGTGCTCGGCATGGAGGTCCTGGGCGCGCAGGTGCCACCGCGCTGTGTGGTACAGCCCCAGGGCTCCCCCCAGGGCAAGCGCCGCTGCCCCTAGCAGCCGCGGGCTCCCCTTACGGGTGGCGGCCACAGGGGCTGGGCCGCCCGCCGCCCCCGCGAAGCCAGCCCGGTTCTGCGTGGGGAGCAGCAGCTGGGGGCGGCCGCCCAGCCTCCAGGCCAAGGCGCACCCGCCAGGCCACAGCGCCCGCGCTACCCTAGCAGCCGGGGCCATGTTCTTTCCGCCGGCGCTGCGGGCGGGCGCGCGAAACGAAGACGCCGAGACGCGGTGCCGCTTAAAGGGCCAGGACTCGGGCGTCCGGCTGGTTGCCGGGGGTAACGGCGACGCTCTGGGAACCCTCAGCGCTCTCGGGACTGGGGCGTCTGCCCGGCGCCCAGGTTCGAAATGCCCGCCAGAGCCGCAGAGGCACGCTCGGGAATGCTTGCAGACCGCTCTATGCCTCCGCCTCTGAAGGTGCCTCGGCAGTGACCCGGTCGACTGCGGGAGCGCCCGCCTGTTCGCCTGCCTCAGCCGCCTAAGGAGCGGCGTGGCCGTCTGTTAGACATGCTTGACCACTTCTCCCGCAAGCGCCCACTCGAAACAAATCTGAGCCCTGAGGGCCGCGGTTTCCGGCCACCAAAGGCCCTAGAAACGGCCCGACCCGGTACCGGGTGCTCGACGTAGTTGCGGTTGTCTGCCCTCCCGCTTCACTGTGCGCTTCCTACTGTGGCCCGAACCATAACATTTTCCTGAACCCAAGGGGGCCTTGGAAACCACGTGTCTCTGATTTCGCCCACGCGGAGCGGCCGGCCTGCCGACCCCGAGGTTTTTAGGGACAGGATGGCAAAGTGGGGTGCCAGGCTGCCCGGTCCCTCTGTCGGGGTCGCCCGCCCTAGCTGAATCCCGGAGCGTCCACCGCATAGGCGTCTCCGCGGACAGCCCGGGGATGGCCCCGCCCGGCGCCCGGGTGAGGGGCGGGGCTCTCGAGGTGGGCGGAGTCCGGGGGCGGGGCGGGGGAGGAGCTCCAAGTCCGGGCCCTGCGGCTCTGCCCCTGAGTTCCACTCTTCTCGTTCTGCTTTCGCCCCTTATCTTCCACCTTCCTCCCAAACCTTGCGGCGACCGAGCCCGTAGTGTCGGTCCCCAGCGGGGACCTGGGCATGCCGGTGGAGGCAGGAGGGGAAGGCGAGGGCGAAGGCTTCGGGGAGGCAGGTGACCCGAGGAGGCTGCTGGAGCGACCTTTGCTTTTCCAGGGGTGCCTTCCCGGGAAGGGGAATCGGGATGGTGCCTTCGAAGGGACATAAGAGCCCACCTCGACCCGCCCGGAGTGGGTCTGCAGTTGTAGGTGCTGTCTCGGATGCAAGGCAGGCACCCGCGAGCGGGTCACCAGCCCCGTTTTACAGATGGGGAAACTGAGGCAGCTGCAGGGACACTCGCCCATATGGGCTTTGCTCCATCCACTTCCTTCAGCCATTTTACAGACCAGGAGTTCAGGGCCTGCTCGAGTTTAGTGTTGATGAGTGGTTGAGGGTGAGCCATCATGCTCTGTGCTTCTCTACTCTATCCCTATCCATGCCTTCTCCCAGCGCCACTCGCAGACTCCTGCTTGCCAGACGGGGTCCAGCTTCATCCTCCTCCTGTTTACATTAATTGCTCCTGATCTTCCACACTCCGGATTTTCCGGATTCTAGCTCCATCAAAATGTACTTGATGTGTTCAGGCCCAGGGGAGACCGAGGCACCTGAGAGGGGCGTGGCCGAGTTTGGCCGGCTGGCCTTAGCGGGAGGGGCCGGGAGAATGCTGATTTTCTAGGTCAGCATCCCTAGCCACCTGGCTTTGCTGGTGTGGCCTCACGGCCTTGCCAAATGTGAGCAGCTTACAGAACAGCCTCTTGCACATGCTTAAACTGCTGAGGTGACACAGCACTGTGGCTCATGCCTGTAATCCCAGCATTTTGGGAGGTAGAGATGAGGATAGCTTGAGGACGGAATTTGGGGCCACCCTAGGCAACACAGAGAGACCTTGTCTCTACAAAAAATAGAAAAATTAGCTGGGTGTGGTAGCACACGTCTGTGGTCCCAGCTACTCAAGAGGCTGAGGCAGGAGGAGCTGGAGACTGCAATGAACCTGTGATCATGCCACTGTACTTCAGCCTGGGCCACAGAGCAAGAACCTGTCTTACACACACAAACATGCTGGGGTGGGGTGTGGAGAGAGAACCGTCGGCTTCGTTTTCACCTTCTCCAGCCTGTTTCACTGCCCATAAAATTGGAATAATGATTTCCATCAGGATTAAATGGGAAAATGAGTGGGGAGAGGTTGAAAACTAGTGAGGCTGGTGCCTGGGAGGACCCTAGCACAGGAGGATTCGTCTCCTGACAAATCTAGAAAGGAAACTCAGTGGTCAGATCCTCAGCCAAAATATTTGGCAAAGTTCTTTTTTTTTCTTTTTTCTTTTTTTTTTTTTTTTTTTTTTTTTTTTTGTTTTTTTTTTTTTTTTTTTTTTTTTTTTGAGACAGAGTCTTACTCTGTCACCCAGGATGGAGTACAATGGCACGATCTCAGCTCTCTGCAACCTCCACCTCCCAGGTTCAAGTGATTTTCCTGTCTCAGCCTCCCGAGTATCTGGGATTACAGGCATGTGCCACCACATCTGGCTAATTTTTGTATTTTTAGTAGAGATGAGGTTTTGTCGTGTTGGCCAGGGTAGTCTTGAACTCCTGACCTCAAATGACCCACCCACTTTGGCCTCCCAAAATGCTGGGATTACAGGTGTGAGCCACCATGCCCAGCCCAGAGTTCTTTTTCTTCTGTCCTGGCCAAGACACTGCTTGGCTTGCTGTTGAGTGTTTCTTCTGCCTCACTGCCCTTGGTCCCTGCACTGCCTCTTCCTTATTTCACTCGACCGGAGACCTCCAATCTCTGGCCAGCCCTGAGCACAGTCCTGCTGAACGTCCAGGGGACCTCAGGGCTGAGCGGCCAGCTGTGACACAGCTAAATGGAGCTCTAGCCCCAAGTCTGAGCAAATCTCAGAGGCTCATATGGGAGTAGGGGCATGGAGCCAGCCTGGGCTGTGAGGCCCCTGTTGCTGCCCATCTCAGCCCCAGCCTGTCTCTGATCAGTCCCAACCCCATCCTCTATCCCAGCGTTGCCCCTGTCTCACCCCTTCCCTCTGCCTCCACCTCCCTGTGCTCATGGCCTCCTCCCTGACCTTGGCCTGATCCTAGTCCAGCCCTTCCTCATCTAAGGGCTGAGCAAGTGGGCACAGCCTCCTTTTCCTACAGCCTGGTGAAGAGACAGAGCATCCCATCCTAGGCATGGCTGTTGCTGTGGTTTGAATGTATGTGTTCAATGTAGGAACTCAAGACAGCATAGTCATATTAAGAGATGAGGCTTTTAGGAGGTGATTAAGTCACAAGGGCTCTGCCCTCCTGAATGGGATTAGTAGTCTTATAAAAAGGCTTAAAGGAACTAGCTAAGCCCTTTTGGCCCTTCCATCTCTCCTGCCATGTGAGGACACCTAGACAGCACCATCTGTGAGAAACAGGCCCATACCAGACACTAAACCTGCCAGCGCCTGGATCTTGGACTTCCCAGCCTCCAGAGCTGTGAGCAATCCCCTCCCCTTCCCTCCCTTTACTCCCCTTCCCTCCCTTTACTGCCGTTCCCTCCCCTCCCCTCCCCTCCCCTCCCCT